AAGAATACGAATTTAAGCTTGATAGGTTTTAGTGATGCCAACTTTGGAGGATGTCGTATTGATCGGAAAAGCACAAGTGGCACATGTCAATTCATAGGTCATGCACTAGTGTCTTGGTCATCTAAGAAACAACACTATGTCGCCCTATCCACCGCCGAAGCGGAATATGTGGCTATGGGTAGTTGTGTTGCTCAAATTTTATGGATGATGCAAACACTAAGTGACTTTAACTTAAAATTTTCAAAAGTGCCTATTTTTTGTGATAACTCAAGTGCAATAAATATTTCCAAAAATCCTGTTTTGCATTCTAGAACTAAACATATAGAAATAAGACATCATTTCATACGTGATCATGTTGCAAAGGGAGATATTCAAATTGAATATGTAAATACACTTGAACAACGTGCTGACATTTTTAGAAAACCATTGGATGAAAAACAATTTTTACATATTTTTCGGGAAATGGGAATGCTTGAATTAAAGTAAAATTTAAGGTTCTTATTGTCCCATTACATCATAAAAATAAATTGATCAAGTCCAAATGCTCAAAACACGCGTCTAGAGGTCAAAACAAAACATTAAGTCTGAGGCACGGTACCCCTGACGGTACCAAGGTCCCGTCCTAAATAGGTACCGCCAGAGGAGAATGGGATTCTGGGAGCTGCACGGTAGCTAAACACGGTATAGCATACCGTGTACACGGTACCAAGATACTGTTAACACGGTACCTAGGTACCGACCATCACATCGAGTCAACCTCTTTTTTAAAACCCTAGACAAGCAACATTTCGACATTCTTAAGCATTTTCTCTGCCCGACGTCTCCTCACGTTCCTCTCTCCCGTACATCAACCTAGGTAATTCTCCATCCCAATATCTTCAATTTCTTCATATATTAGTTTCAATTCATCAATTTCTTACAAATTTCATCAACTTTAGCATCAATTTCTCACTTTTTTGCCCAAACTCATTCCGCATCAATTTTTTACCAAAATGAGTGAAATTGTTTCCGACGTTCAAGTCGATGCTCAAGCCGGGTTCAAAGCTTACGCCGACCCACATATCATTGAGGGGAGAACCCTAAAACAAGATGATATCCCGGTTTCCGTTCTTGAACTCATTCAAGAACAAGGTTGGAGTTTCTTTCTTCAACTCCAAGCCCCCGTTTACCCGGAACTTGTTCATCAATTATATTCTTCGATGAAATATCATCCCCAAGACCCTTCCATTACCGCCGTTGTAGCCGGCAAAACCTTCCGATTCAACACCCAAAACCTTTCCGAATGGTTTCACCTAGAGCGTCAAGGAGTCTCCACCTATTGCAAAAAGGGGTGGATTACCGACTCACGAGACTTCAACTCCGACTCTTGCCTCCGAGTTCTAAACAACATTGCCTTGACCATGTCTTTGAGGACCCGCACTACTTCCTCCATCGGCCAAATGTCCAAGACTTGACCACAAATAGGTTTATCCTCCTCAAAATCCTCAAAGAAAATGTCATCCCCGTCCTTAACAAAGATAAACAAGTCGGGGTCTATGAATGCACTCTCCTATATTTCCTCCTCACTCACAAGAAAATAAATCTCCCTTCCATCATCCTTAAACACATGCACGAATGCTCCGGTCGCCAAAACAAACCATATGGCATGCTTCTTACCCACATCTTTGCCAAGAGAGAAATTCTTGAGGTGCGCCCTTCTCGCGTCCGATATCTTGACGCGGAGTGCCTTGGGTATTGTGGCCGTGTAAAAATTGGAGAGGAGTACTACATGAAGAAAGAGTTCCAAAATCTTGATGAGGCGACACGAGCAGAGTATGGCCCTCGATGATCTATGTCATCCTTGCCTTTCACTTCACGTGCACCTCGGGCCGAAGCCGAAGAAAATGCCAAGATGGAGGTCCCCGTTCGTGCTCCTCCGGTCAAACGCTCAAAGTCGGCGTCTCATGCTTCCTTGGTCTCTCTCTTGCATCGTCATTCTCACATGGATTCCACTTCCAGAAATGCCTTTAAGAAGTTCAAGAAATTCATCCTCAAGACCGTGGTGGCTCCGATGAAGAAACTTCAAGAGAGCATCGATGACCTCTCGGATCGCATGAAGAAAATGGTGGACCGTGAGAATCGCCAAAAGCAAAATGAGGATCGTGCTTCTAGATGTCGTCGCTAAGTGTTGGGCATTTGACAAAATGATCAAACGTTCTCTTACTTATGTTTTCAAAACAATTATGTATTTTGTTTTATGTTTCAAAACTCCTTATCGTGTCTTATGTTTAAAACTCGTATTTATGCACTTTTATGATTGAAAACCCCTTTGTTATGATTATGCTTATGGTTTGATTGCTTATGGTTTGATGATGCTTGTGGTTTCCTTGCATGCTTATAATGTTGATCAATGCTTATGTGTTGAAACTCATATTTTTGGTACCCCGTCTTTTTGAATGTTGCTAAAAGGGGGAGAAATATTAGGCTTTCTTATGCATACATTTAGGGGGAGTTTTTGTCAAAATATCACGTGCATCAACTTAGGGGGAGTTTTTGTCAAAATATCACGTGCATCAACATAGGGGGAGTTTTTAAATCAATATATGCTTTTCACGATATGTTTGTGCGTTTGATTATTATATTCGAAATCCTTATTTGTCAACATAAAAAAGGGGGAGATTGTTGGCCTTGAATGCCGTACCCCGTAAACATTTTGATGTGCCAAATAAGTCTTCCAATGCTACTAACATCATTGGAAGGATTAAACCAAACGCCAAACCTCTATTAGCTTGTTTAGCATCACCGAGATATACTCCTACGAGCTTAGAAATTTTTGTGTAAAGGTAACGATATAGTTTAGTGATTTACTTATGCCCTTTCACTCAAAAATTTCTAAAATATCAAAAATATTCTTAGTTGGGGTTATCTTGAAAACGAAACACAAAAAAAGAGTTTTGGAAAAATTGCACAGGTCTAAAGGTGTTAGAATAAAGGCCCAACGCTAGAGGGGGGGTGAATAGAGTTTAAAACAAAATCGCAGGAAATTAAAACGAGAGCGTTAAAGTAAAGAGCGTAAGGAAGGAACACACTGGATTTTATCCTGGTTCACCACAACGTGTGGCTAATCCAGCCCCCCGAGAGACTCTCTCGAGCTACACTAACTCCGTTAAGCTTAAGGGTGCTTAACAAACCGATACAACTTGAGAACCCGAGTCACACGAGCCTCAACACCTTTGCTCGGAGATACCGCACTCCAAGACTTCTCACGAAGGAACAAGTAATTTCCTTCGAGTTTACAACAAGGGAACAACCTCCCTTAAAGTGTATGAAAACACTTAAACACTCAGGAATAAAACTCTCACAAGAGTAGATATGAGTGAACTAGTAAACGCTCAAGAACACGACAATTTCTTCAAGAATTGACTCTCAAATAGCTAAGAAAAATAGAAATGCTTATGCAATGAATGAGTATTGAAATGTTGAAGAATTGTGTGTTAAAAGAGAGGATTTGGGTGCCATTTTATAGCCCAAAAAGGGATAAACCCGTTGCTAGAATTTCCAACAGGATGAAGACAAATTTTTCAGGGACACAGGCTGATAGTCGATTGTCAAACCATGATAATCGATTATCCAAAGATTCCCTGTCCAAAAATTTAAAATTCTATCCGTTGGAGGACAA